AATACGATAATCTAGGAAAATATTTCACAAATGTAATTTACAAGTGCTGAAAAAGAAGTCTTATACAATCGAAAACGCTTTTACGTAATGAGTTTCTTTTTATAATCCTATGTTTCATAATTTCTGAATAGTCTCGTGATTTGAATAATCTTAACTAATGTATAATCCCACAACTAGTATAACTAGCAAACATTACTAAAAAATTGTATTTGTCATATATTTACTGTGTTAGACGAAAGTCATGAATAAATTCTTACGAAAAAAAGAGGCATTGAAGAAACAAATACACGTAAATTTTTTATATATATCTAAAGCTTTAAAAATTATTATTGCATAAAAAAAAACCAAGTGAACTATCGTTATTAAATGATTATAGCATTGCGAGTATTTTTATAGCAGTAAAAAGTAACGGAAGGATGAGTGCCCTAAGCAGGAAGACTAATAGACGAGGAAGAGAGTAAAGAAGATGGTGGCACCTCCTGAAGTCCTTTTATTAGCACGGAACAAAGATGTGCTCCATTTAGTGACGTTGCCACCATGGTCCTGGTTACCAAGGAAACCATGTGCACGCAATGTTGCAGTCTCAAACGTACTCGTCGGAGATTTTAATTCTTACTTCGAGAACGGTCCGACGGGTCCTTCCACCTCGCGATCTACGCCACTGCTTGAATACTCGGATTTCACGACATGTTTACAAAGATCCTAGAGATAAGTTGAGAATGGCCGCCGCAGCCCATGCCTCCTCCATGGGTGTAAGGTGACAGCTGCCTGCGCCTGCGTTACATGCACACAGGGTGTCCGAAAATTAGCTTGCTATCTCGTCCATGATTTATGCACGCACTGGTTAATTAGGAACGACATTCGCGCTGAAAATTCATTACTCGTATCTTAATCCTTGACATTACGAATAGAATGTACAAACTCTACGAAATAAATTAACGCTTCCTTTTAGATATGTACATATCAAACGTTAAGACAAAAAACTATATATACATATATTAAATTTTTATCAGAATTATAGTAAGAGGAATAGATTCAATATTAGAAACGAGCGGTCGGTATTTACAAAATTCCCCAGTCGTTTTTGTATTTGTCAATGGTTTTACTGTCTGTCAGTAACACCGGGATTTCTACGCCGTATAGTCATAAAAGTTCTGCCTTCTTAACTGCCCACTCTTGAGGCAGTAAATTATATCAGAGCACCAGTTGACACTTTCGAATTGCACACCCCATATAAGCCAACATACGTTCGTACATACCTACCTAGCGAATCCCTTCGGTGTATGCGCGCGCGATCCCCACCCCCACGCACACATACACAGGAAAGAGAGAGAGATATCTTGCTTACTTAGCCGGGGCTGAACTCACCCGCAGGATCTCTACACGTGTGTGCACTTATTTTAGCAGGATTTTACCGTGTGCATGTGCGGTTCGACGGGAAACAAAAGACCACCTTTTTAGCGAAAAAAGGAGATACTTTCACTTTTATTTTTGTTCTAAAGTTGTTAAGGTTGATGGCACTTTTCTTGTGTGTAACACTTTGTCTAAAATTCTCCACTTATACGTACAAGTAAATCTTTATAATTACAGCTTTCAAAATCTACTCGTAATTTCATAATACCTTTCACTAACATAATTCCTAATCTTCCATTAAACTCTCAATCATATACACCTAACCCTTACTTTCTACGATACCCGAATTGCACGAGTTCCGTTTAACATAATCAAAAAAACGATTCTATTTCGCACAATATCGATTAACTAATTGCAAACGTTAAATTAAGGGTCTCTTATTTATCTGCTTTCTGAAAACTACACGAATCAGGAATACACTTGAAATGT